AGAGACACACACAGACACACACAGCGACACGCAGACACACACACACAGAGACACACACACAGACACACACAGGCACACAGACACACAGAGACACACAGGGACACACAGAGACACAGACACACAGACACACAGACACATACACAACCCACAACACACACAGAGACACACACACACACACACAGAGACACAGAGAAACACACAGACACACACAGACACACACACAGACACACACAGACACACAGAGACACACACACACACACACGCACACACACACACACACATACGCACGCACGCACGCACGCACGCACGTACACACACCTTCACACACAGACACACCCATGCACAAACACACACAGACACAAACACACATGCGCACAACACACAACACACAACACACTACATACCACACACACCACCACACACCACACACCACACCCAACACACACACACACACACTCACACACAAGCACACACACACACGACCATAGACACGCATACCGCGATGTGGACCAGGCCAGCGACCAGACTGAGCGTCGTTTAACCGATACCTATCCCCACGGGCGTGGCCTGGGCCCCACTGGCCGATTTACCCCCCCAGATGGGGACATAGACTGTTCCCTTCGATTTTCGAGGGGCATGCCCCCAACTGGGGTGGTGGGATGGTGGGTATCGGGGTGGGGATGGAGATGGGGATACGCATCGGTTAAACGATGCTGACAGGCACCTGAGCCCAAGCAGAACGGACCATGTGGAAGCGGCGCTTACTAACATACAAACTCCAACGGACGCGTTGCGTCAACTGTGCGCTGGCTCCCGCTCCACTTCCATTGTCCTCGTGCCCCTTCTCCTGCTGCGCCCCGTTCCTCCCAAAATCGGAGAACTCGGAACATCAGAAAACTTCCAAGAGCCAAAGAAGATTCCATAGAGCGGCCCAAAACCTCGGAGGACATCGGAAATCATCCCAAACATCCCAAATCTCCGAGAGCCTCAGAGAACGCCAGAGAATTTGGGAGAAAACCATAATACCAGGGAGCATCCCGGGGACATCCCGAGCACCTCGCTCCTACTCCTCCTTCGGTGGCAATTCGTGGGAGCCTCCCATACCATCATGCTGTCTCTTGCGAATCGACGCTGACCGACGCTAAATCGACACCTATCGACGCTGATTCGGCGCTTCCTCATCGACCACCAGACGCTAATCGAAGCTAGTGCGCTCTGAAGGACTTGCGAGGGTATACAAGGCTCCCATGACTTGCTAATCGAAATTCCTGATCACCATTCCCGCCGCTTCCGCGCCGGTCTGCCCCCGCCTGCCGCCGACTGCGCCCCTGCCCCGCGCGCGCTGGCCTGTCCAGCGGGGTCGAGCCCGAGGTGTCTACCGCCAATATGGAGACCGGCGCCGCGCGCACCTGCTGGCCGGAAAGCGCGCTGGAGCAGTCTGGCATTCACAAACCGCTGGGGAGATCGACGACGAAGAGAAGCTGGTCCTGCGCACCCGGACCCCGTCTAATCACGAAAAAACACGAGTGGGCATTTTCCCTGCTCTTCGGCCCGTGGGGGCCCTGACCAGTCCTGGGGGCCGTAACACAATTCGCAACACAATTGACACTCGGGATGAGAAACGGGTCCCAGGGAACGGGTTCAGACCTTTGAGGGTCGACGTTGCGAAAAAATCATGACGTCGGGGGGTCAGGGCAATAAGACATAGCGACCTCACGCGGTGTCTTACGCGGGCCGCCAGCGCGGCACGCTACAGCAGAGACGAGGGCGCGTACGCACGGCCTCACGCGGGAAGCTCACGCGCGAATGTCCGCGCAGTCGACCCCGTTTTGTTGCATCGCTCAGACGTCGGTAGAAGCGGGCAACGATAAGGCGTTCCGAGCAGTGGCTTTTCGGCCCGCCCCATTTGCAGGAAGCAGGAGGCAAACGCTGGCACCCTTGCCACAGAAGACTCTTTACAATGGGGGTCACGATGGGGGGCCGCGCTGGGGGGATCGGGAAAGGCGAAGGGATATAGGGCTAAGGATATAGGGCTACGACTCTGCATGGGGATACGGATAAGGATACACGATAGGGACGGCAATGGTAGGCCAACGGGAGGCAACAAGAGGCCGAATGGCCCGCGAGAGCCCCGAGCGGCCCCAGACACCAACCATACGCCCGAAGACGACCCCAAAAAGACCTCCAAGAGGCTGTGGAAACGCATGAAACATTGATTTCCCCTTTGTTTTCGCGTGATTTTGGGAGTACTCCGTTATTCAATCTTCTGGGCGCTCGAAACCGCCCAAGAGGCTTGAACATCGACCCAAAATGATCGAAACGGACTCCCAGACGGTCCAGAGGAGCGCCAAGACGGCCCAACAAGGCCCCAACACTGCTCGGAGAGAGCTCCATGACGGCCCCAAACGAACCCAAGACGCCCCCCGAAACGTACTCTAAATCGTGACCCGGTCGTTCAGGGAGACCGCGATTGGGAGCAGGGTGGCCCGAAGAAACCCCCAGAAGACCCCAAAAGGCGCCCAGGAGGCCTCCAGAAACCCCCAAGAGGCTCCTAAACATTTTCGCGAGCCCCCCCGAACCTCTCCATGGAGGAGCCTCGGCAAAAGCAGCTGGGGAGCACAGTGAAGGGTACGCAGGGTAGGGCGATACGCAGGAAGAAGAAGAGAAACAGGAGGGAAGGAGAAGGAAACACATTGTTATGACGACGACGCTGCATCGTTAGTTATATCTACGATATTCCCTCTCCAGCGCCTGCATGCAACGTGCACGGCGCGAAATGCCAACCCTCTATGCATGTGTGCATGCATACATGCATGCATGCATGCATGTATGTACGTATTCATGGATGTCTGTATATGTATGTATGGATGTCTGTATGTATGAATGTACGTATACATGCACGTATACATGCATGCATGTATGCCTGTCCGTCTGTCTGTATGTATGTGTGTATGCAGGTACGCGCGTACTTACACGTTTGTGCAGTAATGTTTGTACGCTCGTATGTATATACATGTTTACATATACATAACGGCGTATGGGCATGTCTGCATGTATGCATGTATGCATGTATGCATGCATGCATGTACGTATGTAAGTCTACATTTATGTATGTATATACTGTATGCATACATGTATGCATGCATGTGTGTATGTAAACATGTGCATGTGTTTGTATGCATGTAAGTCTGTATGCATGTGTGCATGCATGTATGCAGGTACGTATGTATACATGTATGCATGTGTGGGTATGGGTATGTGCATATGTGCGTGTGCGTATATGCACGCAATCATGCCTGTATGCATGTATGTATATGTGTATGTACGCATGTGGGTATGTAGGTATGTTTGTATGCATGCGCACACACATATTAATATATATATATATATATAAATACATCTAGAGATGTATATGTATAAAGATATGCAGGCACGCATACCTGTGTAGTTTTGTGTGTATGTCTGTCTGTCTGGTTCTGTCTGTCTGTATGTATGTAAGCATGTATGTTTGTATAATTACATATACATGTATCGCCAATTCAAACAACATCGAGACAACATATGTGGGTTTCGTGCTGCTGTTCTTTCTTTTTGTGGGGGGGGGGCGTTCCCTACAGCGCCAGCGCTGCCTCACAGCGGCTCCAAAAAGGCCCCCAAACGGACGAAAGTCTTCCCAAATTACTCACGCGACTCCGGAGCCTCTGGGAAGCCTCTTGCGAGACTCTTGGGGGCCACTTGGGGCAGTCTTGAACCGCCAGGGGCAATGTGGTGCCGTCTTGGCGGCCTCTGTAAGGGCGCTCCCAGGGCCCCAGCCCTCCCGTGGCGGCATGAGGTCGCTGGGTTGGGCTCCCCGAGCGCCTGCCCCGTTGTGTGTGTGTGTGTGCGCGCGTGCGTGCGTGCGCGCGTGCGTGCGTGCGTGCGTGCGCGCATGTGTAGATATGTATGTATGTATGTAGGTAGGTAGGTAGGTAGGTAGGTAGGTAGGTATGTATGTTTGTATGTATGCATGCATGCATGTATGTATGTATGTGTGTTTATGTATGTACGTATGTATGTATGTATGGATGTATGAATGTATGTATGTATGTATGTATGTATGTATGTATGTATGTGTATATGTATATGTATATGTATATGTATATGTACATGTACATGTACATGTACATGTACATGTATATGTATATGTATATGTATATGTATATGTATATGTATATGTATATGTATATTATGTACATATGTACATATCTACATAAGTATATGTATATCTATATATATATATATATATACTAGAACCACGCGCGCGCTTCGCGCGCGCTTGGGTTCTAGCTAGGAGGCGAGCTTGAGTCAACGAAAGTCGCAGGGAAGGGGGCAGGGGGAAGAAGGCCAGAGAGCGCTGAAGGATACAAATACTGGAACCCTCTTGTGATTTTGTGGGGGGCCTCGTCCGGCCGCTCGCTGGGAGTTTGACGTAGCTTCTCGGGAGCCTCTGAACCTGTCGGGGGCCTCCTGGAAGCAGGTTCGAAGCATTTTGGGGGCCGATTTGGGGCTTCTCGGGGCCTCCTTTGGGCCTCTTGGGGGTCTCCTGGGGCCTCTTGAGGGGCCTCCTTGGGGCCTCCTGGCGGCCTCTTGGGGCGGAAGGCTCGAGCTTGCGGTTCGTGGTCCCCCTCTGGGCCCCCTCTTGGGCCCGTCTTGGGGCCCTCTTGGGCCATCTTGGGCGCCTCTTGGGCCGTCTTGGGGCCCTCTTGGGCTGTCCTGGGGCCCTCTTGGAAGCTTCTTGGGCCGTCTTGGGGCGGTCTTGGAGGCCTCTTGGGCCGTCTTGGACGCGGTGAAAGCCCAAGATGCGAACATGCGAAAAATATACGTTTTCCCATAGGAATGGCACGATTTTTGTTTCTTGGACCTCTCTTGGGGTGCCTCTCGGAACGTCTTGGGCTGATTTTGGAAGCCTTTTGGCGCCTCTGGGCGGCGTTTTGGCGCCTCCTGGGATATGTTGGGCCGGAAGCTCGGAATTCGAGAGTGGCTTTCTCCTTCTGGGACCCCTCTCGAAGTCGTCTTGGGGTTCTCTTGGGCCGTCTTGGGGCCGTCCTGAGCCACTCGTGCGCAGCCTTGGAGCGCTCCCGGAGGCCTCCTAGGCCGTCTTGGAGGCCTCTTGGGCCGTCTTGGACGCGGTGAAAGCCCAAGATGCGAACATGCGAAAAATATACGTTTTCCCATAGGAATGGCACGATTTTTGTTTCTTGGACCTCTCTTGGGGTGCCTCTCGGAACGTCTTGGGGTGCTTTTGGGAGCCTTTTGGCGCCTCTTGGCGGCATTTTGGCGCCTCCTGGAGCCTCTTGGGCCGGAAGCTCGGAATTCGAGGTTGGCTTTCTCCGTCTGGGACCCCTCTCGAACTCGTCTTGGGGCTCTCTTCGGCCGTCTTGGGGCCGTCCTGGGCCACTCGTGCGCAGCCTTGGAGCGCTCCCGGAGGCCTCGTAGACCGTCTTGGGCGCCTCTTGGGCCGTCTTGGACGCGGTGAAAGCCCAAGAGGCGAACATGCGAAAAATATACGCTTTCCCATAGGAATGGCACGATTTTTGCTTCTTGGGCCTCTCTTGGGCTGCCTCTCGGAGCGTCTTGGAGGCTTCTGGGACCTTCTTGGTGTCATGACAGGCGTCTTGGAAGGCATCTGGAGCCATCGGAGCGCGTTCCGAAGCCGCCTGCGAACGATCTTGGACGGCGTCCGGCGGTCCGACGAGCCTCCGGGCCCCCCGGGGCCCACATTTGTGGTCGGGGTCCCGGCCCCGGGCCCCCGGACCCGGTGCGCCGTTATATGTATACTTGTTCCCCCAAAACATATTACCAAGAATCCCCCCCACCCCCCACCCCCCACCCCTAAACCAGGACGTCCCCCCCAAAATGCCCCTTACACCCTTCCGGACGTCTCGGCGGCCCCCGGGGCGCCCTTGGAAAATGTCCGGCGGCCCCCAAGACGCCCCGAGAGGCCGTTACGAGAGCCCCGAAGAAGCAAAAATCGTCCCACTCCCGTGGGGAAATGCATGTCTTTAGCATGTCCGCTTTTTTGTTCTTCGCAGCGTCCAAGGCGGCCCCATGGGCCCCCGATATCGCGGCAAGAGCCCCCCCAGGGGGTTTTGAAAACGGCCCGAAAAGGGCCCAAGACTGCCCCAGAGAGCCCCGAGACTGCCCACAAAAAACCCAAGATGCCCCCAGAAGGCTCCCAAGAGAGACGCGCGAAAACCATGGGAGGGAGACCCCCCACGGAGCCCCTCTATCGATCACACCATCGATCTCACAATCGATCTCACAATCGATCTCGCAAGCGATCTCACTAGAGATCGCACGAGCGATCTCGCGATCGATCTCACTGTCGATCGCATTGAATCGAATTCACTCTCGGTCTCACGATCGACCT